GTTCCTTTTCAGCAGAAACCCTATTCTCCATTGCTCTTCTGAGAGTGTCTTGTTGGACGTATAGCTCCTTTTCGATAATGATTTTAGCCTCATTGAGTTCTTGAAACTTCTCGCTAAGCTCTCGGAATTTATGCTCTGCGAGGAGTTGGACATCGTCTCGAGATTGTCGCTCTTTGCTAAGGTCTTTTTGCACTTCTGATAATTGCTGTTTCAAGGTCGAAATCTGTTCTTCTAGCCTCTTTCGATTTTGCTCAGCGTGAGCATCTTCTGTCAGTCTAGCATCGAGAAGTTTTTTCGCGTCGGCAGCTTCCTTTTGTAGATTGGCTTGCTGGGATTTCATGGCGAACATCTCAGCTTGTACTTCCCTTAACCTGTTGGCAATGTTTTCTTTCTCCGTCGAAAGTGATCGCTTCTGCTCGTCAAAACTTTTCTTCTCGGCCTCATATTTACGGTTGTCAGAACGAAGGATAGCCAACTCGCTTTCCTTGCGCCTGACGAGATCTTCGTACCCTGTCGATGTTGCAGATAAATCAGAAAGTTGCTTCTGTACTTTGCGATTTTCGCTGGCTAAGTTGCTTTCCCTTGACTTAGAAGCTTGAAGGTCTTTCGCCGCTGCAGCCAACTTGACTTCCGAATCTTGATCGTTTCTGATAAGCTTCGCCTCAAGGTCTTGAACCTTTCTCTCCTTGATGCTTAGTTGACTTTGGAGTAGCTGGACGTCCTGGGAAAGCTGCGCTTCTTGTGCGCTTCGGTCCGCTTGCTTCTTGGCGAGATCTTTCAATTGATTATCTAAATCAGCCAGCTGTTCAGCAAGGTCTCTCTTTTCGCTCTCCAGCTTAGCTATTATGTGACCTGCTTGCTCCAACTGAGATCGATATTCATCGGATTGATGTTCCGCTCGCTTTTTGGCCTCTAGCAAGTCATCCAGTTGATCCTCAAGCTTTTCCTGATCTTCAATAGCTCCAGCCAACTTATCGCTCAACTCTGTCTCACGGAGCTGCAGACGTTTGAATATCTCTTCCTTGTCCAGGGCTAACGCTCGTTCGCTTTCTAAGGTTTGTTGGATTTTTAACATCTCAGTATGGGTATTTCGTCGTTCCTCGTCTAGTCTTTGGCGTTCTGACGCCTCTTGGTCCATTTTCTCGTTTAGCTGCTTTATCATTTCATCTCTCTTCTTAACTTCTCCTGAGGTTCTCGTAGCTCCCAGCAACGGCTTCATCTTGACTAAAAGACGCCACCAAGGGTTCTCACAGAGGTCGATGTAAACTTGGAAATTTCGCTGTATGATCCGTGTTGCCTCCGCTCTATACAGTCGCTTGTTGGCAATTCGCCGTTGGGTAAAACCGCGCGCTAGAGATTGGAACCGTGTCATAATCTCACGTATCAAAGCATCACGTTGCTCTTCAAGCTCTGCCAACACACCGGCACGAAAGAACACTTTGGTGATTCCAACACGGAACAATGACTTGTCCAATTGAAGTTTATCTAACATCATGCTAGCTGCTGTCTGGCCATCAAGGTACCCTTTGGGAATGTTCCTGCACAAAACTTCATATCTTTGTCGGAACTCTGAAAAATGAAGTCTGTTTGGAAAGCCAGTGCGTGCAATTCTGATACCCTCTAAGACACCGTTGCAGCGCAGTTGGTCGAGCACAAGTGGTGCACTGAGTTGCTTAGGCTTTTTTTTGTGGTTGGGTATGATGCACCTCACAAAATGAGGATGTGTCGAATGCAGCTGGGCCATTAAGTAAGATAGCTGTTCTTTATGTCTTTGAGCGACGGTGCGGAAAAGGCCTTTTTTGACCCTGCTTCGAATGGCTCCCGAGTCATCGCCTGCTTCAGAGCAATCACTGAAGAGATTTGCAACATGTGCATCGCTGGATGCAGCCAACAATCTCGTAATGTTGTCATTCATTGGATCTTTATTTTTCTCCAACCATCCTTCGGTAGAATATTCAACTTCGGCGGCATAGTGAGTAAGCATGAATCCTTGCCCAAGTCTAGAGGCACGATACTTGGGAGTTTTGCGATCCCAAAGAGAATGAAGTTTTTCCGTAAACGACTTGTCCGTGGCTTTTGGCATCACACAGTCTTCATCAAGACACGAGAAAATACCAATGGGATTAGGCAACTCAATCAGATCAATCGTAGGCTGGAGATCATGACCAAAATCAATAAATTTCCACTCGATTTTTTCACGGGCGTATTCTTCTTGTTCAAGGACAAACATATGGTGGTTGAAAAATTGCTGGAGCTTCTCGTTCGTGTAGTTGATGCACAGTTGCTCAAAACTGTTTACCTCGAATATTTCGAATCCAGCAATATCAAGTACTCCGATGAAGTGAGAATCATCCAGACCCATACCAGTCCTATCCAATTGGCGATTGATTCGGGTTACAAGATCACCAAAACCCCTCTCGTAGATGCCCTTTGCCAAAGAGTCTATTGCGAGTAGAACTTGTTCGGGCGTCTGTACCTTCTCGACCCATTCCCTTCCGGCCTTTACTCGAGGGTGTAACAATCCTTTTAAAAATGGCTCGAGCGGAATTCCAAGTAGCTTACACACTTTGTCGGCCTGTGCACGTGCGTCTGGAGCTAATCTAGCTTGATCGGCCGATCTACTCTCCTTCACGACAGTTATATTGCCCAGGTGAAGAACAGCAGCGACTGTTCGTAAGATAGATATTTGGTCGTTCTCGGAGAAGCCCATAACATCAAATGCCTCGACCAAGGTGTTCCACTCATCTCTGTCAGAGACACCAACGATGGTATCATGCCCATCCCGCGTATAAGCGAAATCCTCTACGTCTAATTCTTCAATGAGGAATTCGTTTTTTAACGTGCGATCAGCCCCCTTCAAAAGCTGATAGAAAACGTGATAATTCCGCTCATGAGCATTCAACCTTACCACTCTTGATTTCTCAAGGAGATACCAGTCTATGAAAGCACCGGCAATACTGCCATTGCGTGTAAACTCGATCCTGATGAATTTTCCGAAGCGGGAGGAATTATGATTTCTGACTGTTTGCGCATTCCCGAAGGCTTCTAGAATTGGATTTGCCCGAAGAATCTGCTGCGAGAGGGTTGAATGCTGTACCTTATTTTTGACAGGTGATTCCGAGTTTGCAACTGCCGCCAGGTATTGAATGACTTTTTTGGTATTTTCCGTTTTTCCGGCTCCAGACTCTCCAGTTACAAGAATACTTTGGTTTTCTCCTTCTTCAACTAAATTCCTAAAAGCCTCATCTGCCATTGCAAATATGTGTGGTATGCTTTCTTCCCGACCTCGTCCCTTGTATAAATTGATGTACTCATTCGTGTATATAGGTAATGAGCAATATGGATTAATGGTAACCAGGAACAAGCCTGAATAGGTGTAAATGAGATCAGCTTGGTATCTCATATGAAGATTATGGACAACTGATGCTTCATTGAGATGCGTAAGCTCTGCCATGTCATTTGCTTTGTCGAATTTCGCGGGGTTTACTTTGTCAACAGTTTCAGGATCGACCTCTCGTTGCTAAATCCACAGTCAGATATTATACCGGAAGAGAAAACACCTCATGAACTCACACTTCCATCGTCACATTGGACCAATATATGATGATTTTCCAATTCCTCCACTACCCACCCCTTAACGAATGCAGTTTGAGGATCTTTTAACCAAACATATCTTTTTCCGGAGAAATCATTTTCTCCCTCCATTGCCATCACAGTTTCTGCGCCGAGTCGCATCTCTTCCGAATTGATGAATGAAGGCGCAAATGTATTTGAAGAGGGAGCAGTCGACTTTGAATTGGAGCGAAATCTTAGTGAAACATTACTATTATTGGGGGCGACGATGTCTCCCAGCGAGGAGTAGGATTGGTGTCGATTGTGTGTTTGATGGCTTTGTGCCGGTGAAGAGAAAGGAGCAGACGCAAATATTGCACTTTTCGGCCTGCCTTTGGGAGCACCTGGTTCCGGGGATAAAGTCCCTGACCTAGCAAAAGGATTATTGCGCTTGGTCTGAAAATTGGATGCCATCGTGGAGTAGGCGTTGTTGGGTTTCAATTGATTGAAGCAAGGCTATGTTCCTTAAGAAAGTAAACAAAGTCCATCCATGGGAAGATTCTAAATTGTCGCAAAGCAAAAATAGGGGAGAAAAGTTCATGCAACCTCTTCAATCATTACATGTGAAATTAGTAAAGAGGGAAGCAAACAAAAAGATTCATTCTTCTGTTTCGCCTTTTTTTATCTCTTGGATTGGAATCGAGATTCTTGTCAACGTCAGTGTTTAAAGTCAATATTGACGACGCGAAGTAGCATTATTAAGTGGCGGTACAAAGTTTAATTTGGCTTTACTGGGTAGTTGAATGGTAGAGTTTCCCCTGGCAACGCCAGTTGATCCAGTGCCGCTTCAGTCGTAGAATCGTATCGATAAGAGAATTGATGGTTTATCGTAGGGCAGCCTTGCTGCGACCACCTCGTGACATTTCCTCTAGTGTGACACTGTCTTTGTCTAGTGACACTCGCTCACTCGCTCACTCACCAAGTGTCCAACGGGACTTACCGGCGCTAAGCAACTTTGAATCTTCGACTGGCGTTTGCTTTTGGTGCGATCGTACTAATAAGTTTCTTTTTCCCATTGCCATCTGCACCTCCACCTCCACTTCCACCTCCATCAAGCTTTCAGACAGATCCTACCCAGGTCTTCTTCACAACCAGGTTCATCAAAATCGAGTCAAAAAAAATAAGTGAAGAAAGTGATAGTCTCACTTGCATTTTTCATTGTTCAATTCTGACAATCCTTTCTTCTGGCTCGTCGCGACACCCTTTTCTCTGCGACTTCTGCATCTGTAATTACTTTCTCCCTTGATTTGATTGCGCTGCGCCAATGATACTCGACCGTTAAATTGAACGCGTCTTCGAGGTAATTTTGCAATATCAGTCAGAACTAATCACAGTTAAAGTTTTGGATTCTTTCAGTAAAGCTAGGTACTGCTTTGTACTTGCCGACAATGTCGGATTATCCATACTATGGCGCGGCCTATGGCAATCGCGACCAGTCGAACAACCCACCTTACCCAACCTATCCAAATCAGTCCGCATATTATCCACAAGATGATGGCCGATCAGGGCAGCATACGATGACTCAAGGATATGATAATACAATGGCGTATGGCTATAATCAACAACAACTTCCAAACTATAGCGCGCCCGCTATGCAGAATAATATACCCCCAGTTCCAGTGTTCCAGGGCTGGAACCAAGAAAACTCATCTATGCCCCAATACAATGCAGCGCCGCAAGGCATGCATTCTTATGCTGGGTACAATCATCAAAATTATGCTCAAAATTCGCAATACTATGCACCAGTGGCTGCTCCGCAGCCAACATATCATTCCCAAACACCCGCGTATGGTAACGTTGAAAATCGCGAAATGAGCGAAGGAGAGTATGATGATACTTCTGCCCACATGCGCTCAACAGCTCCGAATGCTTCAATTGGCGCACCGAGCTCGAGCCACTATCGCGGGAATGATGGGAATGGCTATCTCGATACTGCCCATCGCGCTGTCTATTCGACAGGCCAAGATCCTGCTCCTCAGCAGCCGCCGCCGACTCTTCGCAATGGTAAGCAATTCCAACCTCTCATAAATTCGTTTATTAACGTCTCCCTGCAGCAGCCGATTACTATAATCAACGTCAACCTTCGGCCTCGTACTCCCCTTTCGTAGCCCAAAGTGAGCCAATGTTTGACCAAATCAAAAATTCTCAGATTAAGGATACAGGCGCAGGTAAGGGGGCATTGAACACAAAGAGGGGCGGTGCACAGAAAAAATCAAAGCCTCAATCACCGGTAGGAGAGCCTAATAATACTGCATCCATATCTGGTCAGGAAAATATCCCCTCTTTCACAAAAGGTCAGGTATCAGAGACCGTTGGAAGCTCCCACCCTTCTCAAGCTGATGCACATAACGATGCCGTTACTTTCAAAACTGTCGCCGAAGCTCGTAAAAAAGCTGAAGGCGCCATCCTGAATCTTTGGTCGTATGATGTTCGATTCCCAGCCTATCTTGAAGAAGGTGTTGATGAAAAGCTTGTCGGAGAATTGTTTGATGGGCTTAGATTGTCGAAAACTGCAACGAAAACCATCAGTGCAGCTTCTGCCCAAAGTCCCTCCACCAGTGTTTCTTCTGCGCCTACCTCCGGCCTCCCTGCCACTAGTGGACATCCGAATGGTCAGATTTCCGCCCAAAACTCTACAGATAAATCTAAGCAAGCTATAACTAATGGAGCAGGCACTGCTCCTTCTGCAACTGCGCAGCCGAAGAGTGCAGCCGCCGTTGAGAAAGAAAAAACAATGCAGGCGAAAATGGACGCTCTCAGGAAATCGAGAGCTGAGCGAGCCCAGAAGAATGCGGCAAAGTCTGTCACAACTACCGCTACTAGTCTTCCAAGTCCAATTGCTCAAGTTAAACCAACTACAATTCCTGAAGTGCCTATGTTGGCTACAAATTCTACTTCCTCCGCTGGAAAAGTCGTTGAAAAAAACAAGGTTGGTACTACAGTTACAAGTGGCTCAACTTCAATTCCAGCTTTGACTGTCACAACACAATTTCCCCAACCGAACGCACCACCTCCAAATATTCAACAGACCTCTCAAAAGATTCCGGGTTTGTTCTTAGCTTCTGCCCCACCCGCCCCATCATCTGTCCCACAAACTATCATGCCAACCCCGGTTCTCAATGGGCAGCGCAAACGTCCAGTAGCTGCTGACTTTGACGGACCTTCGGCATCCACCATACCGCTCAAGCGACCATTTGGTCAAAGCCGTGTGGAACCAAAACCGTTTGTAATTTGTGTCAGCGAGGATGAAGACGAGTCTGATGAAGATGTCGAAATGGAATTGGAATCTCAGGCTGATGCAGATTCACCTGTTCAACCCCCTCGCAAGCTACCCGAACAAAAGGCATTGCCGACGGCATCTTCTTTTCTTCCACCAAAACCATTCACTCCACCTCCCATATTGTCGACGAGCACCCCACCAAATTTGCAAAGTTCTATTAAGCCACATCCTGAGGATCTTCGACGCAAGGAAAGCGAAATTGAGCAGTTGAAGAGAAAAATAGCTGAGGCTGAAATGAGGAAGGCAAATAAGAGAACCAGCAGCGGTGCACAAACTCCCATTAATAACGTCGCAGCAAGTACGACCAACATCAGCCTTGTAGCTATTAAACCGAATTCTTTAATCGAAACACAAAAGGCAACCAATATTTCTAAGGATAAAACAGAGTCTAATGCAGCTCAAGCTGCCGAGCTTCAACAAGCCGCTGACATTCGAAAAGAAGAGGCCGAACTCAAACGACTCCGACGTGAAAGAATTGCGAGCGCCATTCCCCGTGTGGACGCTGAAGCTTTACAAAACCAAGCGAGACTTGAGGAACTTCGTGCCGAAACCGCCAGAATCGAAGCGGCGGTGCAAAAGAACCTTCAGGACAAACGAAGGCTGGTTGAGGAAATGGAAAGACTAGGTCAGGAAACCGATCAACAATTGCAGGAGCAAAAAGAAAAGTTGGACAGTCTCACCCGTGAAGAGACAAAAGACGATCCAGGTAGGTGCAAAATTACAATTATCAGACTGCCCATAGTAGCAGATGCTCACAATCCCACAGCCGAACCTACTCTAGCTTCTGCTCAGCCAGACTGTGAGCCAGAACCACAAAGTCTCGCCGAATCCGAGCCAAAATCTGCATCAGTTCCTATGGAACTAGATGACCAAAGCGATGATGCTCGCGACGCAATGCAGCAACAACAACAGCCTGAGCAATCCCATACTACTGATTTCACCGCTGCCTGCCCAATTTCTATACCTCCGACCCAACTTGATAGTATCAGCGATATGGCACATGACACAATAGGAGACAATTCTTCTGAGGTCAAAGAAGCATCCGAAACCAACCAAGATCTTGAGGCTGCGCTTCAAGAAGCTGTGCGCGCGGACGCAGACTCTGCTGGTCCCAGTGAAGTCGAAATGGAAGACAGTGATGCGCCTCCTACGCAAGCTAACGACGCAACTGCCACACCCGATGAAGAGAAAGCAAGTTCCGATTATTCACCAGTCCTTGAGCGTTCTCAGCCACTTGCAACTTCATCAACCCCTAACATTCCTGATGTGGTAGATGCCTCGGAGATCGCTGATGTAGATTCGGATAACTATGAGCCCCCAGAGGCAACTCCTGCTGCTGATGAGACTTCGTCGGTGGCTTCATCTCCATTTAGCCCCGCTCCACCAGATTCAGTCATTGATGCAGCAGAAGATGGCGAATTGCCAGAGTTGTCAAACGGTAACTCGATCGATCTTGAAGTTATCTCTAATGGCGTAGAACAAAGTCTGCCGGCAGAAGATGGTAGTGTCCTTCAACTAACAGAAGTAAAAGTCTTCTCCATTCTTGGTGGCAATTCCCAGGCTGACCCAAGCCCAGAAACCCCTTTCTAGCGACCCTAATAGCTCAAGCTTTTTTACACCATATGAAAGCCCTTTAAGAGTGTTTCATGCATTTCGGTTTCATCCAGAATATAAGCAACAAATTACGGGTGGGCTGAAGTCTATCACTTATACTAACAAGATTGATGCGAAGAAAGAACTGTGTCGATACGAATTGATGGGAGGAATATGCAATGACAATACTTGCGATTTTCAGCATTTTAGAGAAATGGGACTGCCTGGTGCGTCGGTAGTTCCAGCCAGCATGCTCTGAGCTCACCCTTGAGTATCCCTTTCGTCCCTTTGCTAACTTTTGTTCCGACAGACGATGCCGTTCTTACGAAATTGGGATCCCCAGACGAGTTCGAAGGAGAACAACGAGATAGGTTTATTGAAGGTTTGAAATCAGTACTCTCGGGCCTGCGAGCAAGAAAAATTAAAGACTTTGATGCCATTGCCTCGGAGATTGTTGCACATCGTGCCAACTTCTTGGGCGATTCATCAAAGGTACTCAGCCTCGAAGGCACGACACTTTAAACGACTTACCTACAGCGGCTTGGACCCTGAACTTGTAATACTCTCAGCCCATTCTCCCCATCACATACTGTTGCCAGAGACCTGATCAGGCTTGGTATCGATGCTAAATAATCTTTCCTTTTTGGTGTGAAGGCCGAAGATGGCCTAATCTCACTCTGTTGGACCATTTATCTTCAAAATCTTCTTTTTTCAGACCTGAAATATCAATGGACAACGACTTTGCATGGATGGAGTTGCATGGAAAAGCTGGTGTTTTTGTGGCAAGTCTACGATACCCCGTCCGATGAAAAAAAAAGGAGACCTGGGGGAGTGCATCCAGTGGGTGCGACCAGTGTGTATTCTGGAATAAAATTCCTTTTGACACTGAATGATAAAAATCTGCGAAGTTTATCCTTTGAATTAGCTAGTTATTCATAGCATAATAATTGACTAATTTATTACTACTTTTCAATCAATCTGATTCCAATATGTTGTTGACTTCGGGATATCATGGCATCTATGAAGTTGCTTGCTCAGTCTGATTATTTGATCTCGACGGGATGGGATGTCTTATTGATTTTTTGTTAAAACACATGACCACGCGAAAGAAGCAAAATGCAATACCCCAGAAATTAGAAGAACCCCACCCACCATAATGATCATCGCACACAACTACTGAAAGCGGCAATTCCGACACCAAATAATCACGACATCTAAGCCAGAACTTCATCATTGCGCTAAGTACCAGTGAGCACCAACCTTTTTTTCCATGCAACTAAAATGGCAGGCCAAACTATGGAAATCAGCTTCCCGATATGATTATCTGGGCCATGGCTTTCGTCTCATTGGCTTCGAAAACGGAAAAACGATAAGGTTGAAGAGTTTCTAAGTGAACAGGGGATTGAGGATCATGATGTAACATGTAGCTATGAGTATCTTGCAGTGGCTCGAAGCTGAGTGATTGCGTGCTACATCATTTGGTATTATACATAGCGATCCTCTTGCAACTGGAACGGCTGTGATCCTAGGTTTATCATCTTGATAAGATGGAAGTTATCCTAGTCATTGTGATGTGATGTGATTTGATCCATTTTCATGCAATTTTGACACCACTTGATGTTTTTTCCACATATGACGAGGATGACGATATAAGTATATTGACGAACCCTCATTCTTTATCGCTTTCGAAGAGTTCCTGTTCCTTTTTCATTCCTCGACGTCGAAGTATTTTTTCGTGCACATCGGGCATACAATCGATCCATTGCAATTTCCGTAATGTCGCACACAGCGCCACAACAGGCACTGTATGATGAGAAAATCGCAGTGAAAACGGAAGGCAATGGTGGGATGGACAAAAATGAAGAAAGGATTGGAAATGAGAGCGAGGTTTCCGATGAATCTTTTGCGAATCCAACGGGGATAAATGAGAAGGCATTAGTCAGGAAGTTGGACTTGAAACTATTACCTGCGCTTACATTGCTTTATTTGTTGAGTTTTTTGGATAGGAGTAACAGTATGTTTCACTCCGTTTTCTTTGCTTTGATCTTCTCTCTTTCTTCAGAACCAGGGTTCAATTGGAAGTTGCGGATTGATAATCAGAATAATACTGACCGGAATCCAAACACGCAGTCGGAAATGCGAAACTTGATGGATTAGCGACGAGTTTAAACATCACCGGGAACCAATATCTATTGACACTGACAATTTATTTCATCGGATACGTTCTCTTTGAAGTGCCTTGCAACATCATACTTAAACGCACAACACCCAAAATATGGCTTCCAACACTCATGCTTCTATGGGGAATCGTCGCGACCTTAATGGGAATTTCTACAAACTATGCGGGATTTCTAGCTGCAAGATTCTTCTTGGGTGTTACGGAGAGTGGATTGTTCCCTGGTGTGGTGTTCTATCTGTCAATGTGGTATAAGAGGACGGAAACACATTATCGAGTTGCATTGTTCTTTTCTGCAGCTTCGTTGGCTGGTGCTTTCGGTGGAATCTTGGCTTATGGCATTGGGTTCATGGATGGAGTGGGAGGATTGAAAGGGTGGAGATGGATTTTTATCATTGCAAGTTTTCTGAGATTAAGGGTTGAAAAGGATTGTACTAATCAATGAACAGGAAGGACTTCTGACCGTCGTTGTCTCTCTCTTAGCTTATTTTTTTATCCACAATTACCCCTCAACCGCACCATTCCTCACCGAACCAGAACGCTCTTTTATCCATGCGCGTCTCAAGTCTTCCACTGACGCAACCAATAATGAACCCTTCACTTGGGCCAACGTCCGCGCCGCTTTTGGAGATTACAAATGCTGGCTCTACAGTCTCGGTTTCCACACAATGTCTCTACCCCTCTACACCCTTTCTCTTTTCTTTCCTACCATCATCTCAGCCCTCGGCTACAAAGCGGCTACCGCACAACTTCTCACTGTCCCCCCTTACGCATTCGCCACAGTCCTTACAGTGATCATCGCCATCCTCGCAGAAAAAACTCACAAACGCGCTCCTTTCATTCTCTTCTCCTCCTCGTTTGCAATCATCGGCTATATCATCCTTCTCGCAACTCCACACAGCAAACCCGGCATTTCCTATCTCGGAACCTTTTTCGCAGCCGGTGGAATCTACCCGAGTACCGCTATCGTACTTTCCTGGCCCGCTGCAAACGTAAGTGGACAAACTAAACGGGCCACGGCGACTGCGATGACGATTACGATTGGAAACCTGGGGGCGGTTTTGGGAACGCAATTGTATAGGCCGGCGACGAGTCCTAGATGGTTTTTAGGTCATGGATTTGCATTGGGATATTTGGTGGCGAATTTGGTAGTCGTAGGGACGTTGTGGATTTGTTTGGAAAAGGAAAATAGAGAGAAAAAGAGGAGAGAAGAGAGTGGAGAGGTAGGAGATGAAGTTTTGAAAAACGATGAGGATATTAGGTGGATTTTTCAGACTTGAGTTCGGGGGAAGAATATTTTTGTTTTTGTTTGTCTTCATAGTAAATTCATACTTTGATTTTATATTTTGATTTTCGGGTGTTGGAAATGCTGTCGTGTCGTGGCAACAGAGAAAATGATACGAGACTTTTCGATGTTAGAGAATCGGCCAATACTCAATTTGGTGTTACGAGAGAGTTATGCTCCGGGTGGGAAATTCGAGAGAAGATGGCTCGCCTCGGCAAGTACAGAATCAACAAGATAAATGGCCGTACTTGGTTCGACCGCCCAGTGCAATATACGGAAGGAAACCTCGTTGCACATGATCTTCGTGATCTCTCGTGTATAGACATAAAACAAATTTTCTTTCACCAATTCCAGGGAGAAATGTACGAGAAAGCCATACTTAATCCTGTCTCTGTGGTCAAATCAGAATAGGGATAAACCTATTGATAGATTCGAGATTTCTACAATGGATAAAACTGTCCGAGGAAAAATATTTTCTGTGCGGTATACTCCATTCTTTGCTATTCATAATACGGGTTGTGTAGTCGATAAATCTATATGTACAGTATGAAATTACCTAAATCTCCCACTGGACAAATTGGTTGTGCACATCTACCGGGAAGATCTCACTTGTGGCACCAGCTCACCACATCACCCAGAATGGCGATCTTGTAGATGGTATCGAAGGCCTACAGATCATATGCCAATTGACTCCAGGAAGGAAAGCGCCAGCCGAAGTAAACTATTACCTTCCCGACTATAGGGCCTTGTGTGCGGCGGAAAATGCCACGCATACTCTACACAATATCCACACTCTCCGAGGAGTTCCGGTGCGCGATGCTCGACTTTGGTCGCGATACCTTGATGAGTCAATTACTCTGTTTGGCGATAAGACAGATGTGGTGTTTGCTGGTCACCATTGGTCAACCTGGAATGACGATGAGAATTTAGTCCTCCAGTTTTTATCAGAGCAACGTGATTACTACGCCTACCTTCATAATGAATCGCTTCGTCAGATCAATGATGGACAAACTCCTTTGGAGATTGCAGAGAATATCCAGGTGCCTCCTAACTTGAGTGCGAAAACGTATCTCCAAGGCTAATATGGTTCCGTCAGCCATAATGTGAAAGGTGTTTATGACAAATATATGGGTTGGTTCAATGGCAACCCAGCCCATCTCTGGCCACTCCAACCCGGTTTGTCAAATGTACGGGTGGACGTCAAGCCGTTCTTGACCTTGCCCACGAATATATTATGAATAAGAATATTCGATTCGCAGCTACGCTTTTGGATAAACTCGTGTTCAAAACTCAAAATTCAGTGGAAAAGATAGTGATATTGCGAAGCAAGCAATGGCAGCCCTGGCTTCTGTGCACAATACTTTGGGATGGGGCTCGGAAAATGCCACCTGGCGTAATTTTCATTTGACAGGCGCTCATGAACTGCAGTTCGGGCCTCAAAAAGTAGATCTTACCATGTCACCTGAAGTATTGCTGACATTGAGCTGTTCGACACAATCGCCATCAAAATTGAAGGACTCGCCGCTTTCAAGAAAGCAGAGGTGTATTTAGAGAAAGAAATAACCATCGATTCCATGGTTTCCGATGTCCAACAAATCAGTAAGCCGAGTGCTGGTTGGCACTTGAGATTAAGCAATGCTGCGATGACAGGCCATGCCATTCCATACGTAGCTTCTTCAGAAAAGCCAAATCCGGGGAGTGACGTGACTATCTGGTTAGATCATGTGAATCTTGCAAGATTAGTTGGAGCAACGGCTCTGGGAAGAATTCCAGTTACTGTGGATAATCCACATATCGCTCTCACTACTGCTGGAGACGTAGATGCTTGGACGAAGATCACAGCTTTGATCAAATTGCCGACTGCTGATTTCAACATTGTTACGCCTTGATTACAACGACCAATATATCGACTGTTTGTCCGGCTTCTTCAACACCTGCGGATTTGAGGTCGTCAATTTTTGACTATGGTAGAAATGTGGAAAGGGAGAGAAACAGTTCATGTAATGAATTATGAAATATTGATGAGGCTATTGAATGTGACTATAATTCAGTGAGATAGCTCGTTCACAAAGCTTTATTAATATCAATTCTGATTCGTCTTTGTATCTATTTCTGCACGTGAGGTTCACTCTTCACGAATATAATCCGGACTTCAAGCATAGGGACGGACTCGTCGGACAATTCCCCCTCGCTTATTCCCAGTTCCAGTATCCAGGTTGGATAAACAGCAAATCCCAGCATCCTCCTCAACAATCATGTTATTTGAAAAATGCATTCAAATCAACACCATCTGAAACCCCTACAAGCGACCAACTTCCCTGTCCTACGGAAACATCGTCTATCTCTACATTCATCTCGTTGACATTCTTCAATCCGTGAACGCCTACGACTGCTTTAGCGTTGGAGGCTTGAGTCACTTTACCAATTTTAATCCGTTGGGATGCAACTTCTGCTAGTGCCGTTTTCCATGTTTTTTCGAAGATATCCATCATTTCTTGTAAAGACGGCTGCGGTAAAGATTGTGATGCTTCATTAGTTGTTGAATCAGACATAGCTTGGCTTTTTTCTCTGTCTGAAGAGTGTGATAAGACTTGACTTTCATCTTCATCTAATACAGACACTTCTTCAATGGTTACCCTTTGCAATTGATACTCAAGGTTGTCGATGCGATCTCTAACGACAAGACCCGCTTGGTTTATCCTTTTGTTAGTATCGTCTAATCTTTCGATGACTGATTCGGTTTTATGGGTTTGCCTCAAAGCAACCGAACTAGAGTTTGAGAGTCAGATTAGTCAATACGAAAAATTAGAAATACTAATGTTCTTTGCTTACAACGTAGCCATTTGCAGTGCAATTGTGAACGTCCCTTTGCATGCCACCAATTGCCTGTTGAACTCCAAAAGTTCCTTCTCAGCCAAAAACCCAACCCTGAACCTATCTCTCCAGTCCATTTTATTGTTCGAGGGGTGTCTTATCCACTTTACTAAATTTTCTCGAAACGCCGTACATATCCTGTTGCAATTTTTAGCCGCGGTCTTGAAATTGTCATTGTCAATCTCGCTTGGAACTCCTTGGGCTTGATTGCTTTTTTTCGCAGTGGCGTCTAGAGATGAGAGAACATTGACAACAGAGTTGAGATCATCTACAATAGGCTTGATGGTCTCCCCCGCATTTTTTACAGCACTGAAATCATCGCGCAGGAGTCTGGCGCTATGGAAAGCAGCAACGATAATGCCAACAACTGCACTGCCGGTAGCAAGAACGTCTGCCATTCTTTGAGACTTGATGATTTGAGAGATTATTAAAGTAAATCGAGTAAATGGAATGAATTGTGAATTTGCATGATATACAAGTGATGTTCAGATTGCGGCTGAGATAGCTGAATACAGGGGTTTTGCGAAATCGCCACTGCAGCCTAGCGCACATAATTTAGGCTGTCAGCATGGCGTTCTGAACTATATTTAGAAAGCTCAGAGCCTCGATCACAGGATAAAGTCTATGTTTAGTCCTAAAGACATATTTGATAGAACTTGCTAGAGACTCACGTAAATAAACGTCGACGTCGCCATGGACTCTCACGGGGTATTACCGAATAGACTCATGAATTATGGACAAACCAGATCCCACGAGCGTCATAATATCACACAAGATATAAGCCACATTAACGCTGAAGCAGGCTCCCGCCTCTTCGTTGGAACGAACATAACATACGAAGCAGCAGGTAACTATCCCCGAGCTCAAATTGATATGTCCAGAATTTCTGACGTTTGATTACCAGTGCCGATAAGAGATGAGATCTTGAAGTGGCTCGATCCAGAAGATCTAAGAATCTCTCAATACAAAGAGCATACTAGGTATCGTGAAGACCGAGCAGACGATACAGGGGAAGACTTTCTCAACGGTGATTTCAAAAAATGGGCGTCCTCGAACAAGAAATTTCTATGGTTGAGAGGACAAGGTACGTTCACCCAACTTCGTAAACAAATCCTCGATATTCAGTATCTTATATAACCCAATTTAAATGGATTTTTGCATTGTTCAAGCCAGCACAAAAATTGTAAGGAAGATGTTCAAAATAGTTCTGAACAATAGATTTATACTGTTCTAGCATTTCAGACTGTACTCGTTCAATGTTCATCTCAACCATTCGATCCGATTCTGATCAATGAAGGGGATACGAAGTACTGACGATAGTAAATAGTTGGGTCCGGAAAAACTATGATATGGTGATTACTTACATTTGATGTCTCAAAGCAAGAGAAAATACTAATAACTGCAGCTCGCATCTGATTGAGAATATTCCAAATATCTTGAGGATTACCTCTCCGGGAGTCACTTCAAACAATGCTCACTTAGTCGCCTTTTATTACTGCTCATTCAGCGACAATTCTACCTTCGATGTTGGCAATTTTCAAAGATCAATCATCGCACAGCTTTGCGACAAATATGGTCTTTTGCCTGAGTTAAAAGAGCTATATGAGAATTGTAAGCCATATCCTCCTTCGACGGTCCAGCTAACAACATTGCTTCTGTCAATTGTTAGCTCCCTCAAAAGTTCCACCGCCACATTGACAAACTCAGAAAAAACTGAAGCCTGTCGGAGTACTACTCTGGTCATTGATGGATTGGATGAGGTCCCCCTGGAAAGCCACGGGATGGCTATCTTCAGGTGATTGAGAAGCTGTCTTCTATCCAAGATCTGAATTTCAGAATCGTCGTCGTGAGCCGCGAGGAGGGTGATTTGAAAGCATCCTTCTCTAAAGATTACGGATGGAGATGGCTCATACGAGATACCGCACACGTAACACTTGACATTGAACAATTTGTTCAGGCACGTATCTCCAATCATAGGAGACTTAATTCTCAATCTACCGAGATCAAGACTCTGATTTCTCGAAGACTTAGTCAAGGTTCTGAGGGAATGTAAGTTTTCGTTTGTCGGCATTGTTCTCCTATAAATGTATTAATAGGTACAGGTTTCGACTTGCGGCACTTCAGATGAAGGAACTTGAGTACCTGACTCGGAACTTGAGAGTGATTCAAAAGGCAGACCTTGAAAATATCTTTCTCTCATTACCTAGAGACCTGGATACCTTTTATGATTTGATCATAAGTCGTATGCCAAATAGTTTGCTATCAGAACTCGAGACGGTTTTGAAATGGCTCATATTTGCAGCTCGACCATTATTTGTGGAGGAGATCGTGGAAGTTTGCACTATTCGACCTATCATAAATGGACTACCCTGTATCGGAAGTCGTCGCCATGCTCTCGATATTGTAGAAAGCCTTCCTGGCCTGGTAAAATTAGAACCGCCAATAGCAGATGATGTGGAGATCGTGCCCCAAGGAGTCCATATACTCAGCATTGCTCATTTCTCAGTCCAAGAATATTTGTGCCCAATTCACGACTTCAACCGTCCCCCTGGATTGTTTCGATTTACAGATATATATAAGGAGCACCAAATGATAGCACAAGCCTGTCTTTCTTACCTCCTCCATTGCTTAAAAAGTAAAGATGGGCGCACTGCTGCTTTTCATTTACGAGAGTATTGCTGGTATTCTTGGTCCATGCATATGACAGCGACCACAGATTCGCATGATTTAAAAGCACGGACTACGGCGGATTCTTTGCGCTTGCACAATAGCATTGCGAACCCTATTCTTTACAAACGACGCTCAGAGGTTGTGTCTATGGAGGCTGCGCGCTTAAGAAGCTTTGCGGATATATTCACTCCAAAGATGTACGCAGAACTTCTGGTTGCCCTTCAAGATTTAGAATTCCCGTTCGACGACTCTGGTGTATCTGAGAGAAGCATTAATTCCCAGCAAACACCTTACAAAACGATTCTAGGACACTGTCCAGACGCTACTAGGCTTGTAATTTTGTACCCATCCAACAATCCTGACTCGCCGCTCAGGTGCGGCATATGTACTGATTCGCTTGATAACAATCCAGATTATGTTGCTTTATCGTATGCATGGGGTAAATATAATGAGGAAATGTTAATGTTGAAAGTATACGGCAATGGATTTTCTCTACGTCTGAGGCCAAATTTGCACTCTGCTTTAGTACATTTGAGAGAGGAAACTGAGCCTCGCATGCTCTGGATAGACGCAATCTGTATCGATATGCAGAACTTTGAAGAGCGCAGCTTCCAGATAAGGTTAATGGCACGACTCTATAGTCAGGCTCAGGAAGTCATAATGTGGCTTGGTGAGTCGAGAAATAGCTCAGAGACAATAACTAGCGAAGCTAAAGCCATGAGCGTGCTGAACATGGAGACCTCACTCGACGGGAACCTGACTCCTTATTGGGAGACTTGGGACTCAGTAGATGCCTTATTCAGACGAAGTCTATGGTCTAGAGCATGGACGATACAAGAGTCAGTTGTGGCGACAAAACTAACAGTAATGTGTGGCCAATACGCTTCATCATTTGATCATTGGCACGACATACGAGAATTGCGTCGCAAAAAGCTAGACTCAGAGTGCCGGCTACCCCGCCTCTTGTCAAATCAACGTTTCAAAGCGGACGAAGCCGCGTGGGATGCCGTAATCGCCGTTCAGGCTCTTAGAAATCGGTATAGAAAAAATGGTAGGATGGAACTCGAACTGGCAACCTTACTTTTTCTGTCTAGACGGCATATTTCATCCGACTATCGAGATAAACTATATGCGCTCTTAAGTTTACTGGGCGATAAAGAGCGATCAGATCCTCTTTTGCATCCAGATTATAGTCTTTCTCCAGCGGAGATGGCCCACAAACTAACAGTGTATGTTTCAAAAAAGTATCAAAATCTCACTATACTTGAGAGTTCGTTTGGAGCCGATAATTCTGAGAATCTGTCATCGTGGACCCTAGATTTATATGCGCTCCGCCGACCAATCGTCCATGAATCTAGTGATGCCATACAGCAAAGCACACTGCAAGACTCACACGATGCATCACAAGCATATAATGCTGGAGGCAATTATATTCTAGACGATCACCCATTTACGTTCTCTAGCGACCTCAAGACTTTAAAAGTATGGGGTGTTGTCATTGACTCCGTCATAGATTGCGACCTAGAACTGCGGCTTTCTGACAATATATACTGGGAAAGCTCAAGGGGAAAAACCATAGCATTTAATTGCCGACGATACGTAAGATGTCTTGGCCCGGAGAGTGTTAGAAGAGGAGATCTAGTGGTCGTGTTATTTGGCAGCATTGTGCCGTTTTTGCTTCGGAAAATCCAAGTTGATTGTGTACAAGCTGAACCTGGGCCATCAGGAGGACGGTACAAGCTTATTGGGGCTTGGTGAGAATGTCCTTTTCTATTCAAATAAACAGAGCTAACATTCGATGCCAGTTACGCTGAAGGTATCATGAAAGGTGAGATACTGGAAGCATATCAAGCTGGTGACAACGAGGGGCAGGAGTTCTGGCTTGAGTAGACTAAATATGGATGCATACAAATAATTTTGACCATGGCAAACGCAAGCTGAATGCTCCTAACGAAAATGCAACACTTCAATTGGTACTTAAAAAGGAATTGAATGGTAATGACTAGCTGGCAAAATAATGTTGGTACTACAAGAGTTTGAATGAGTATCCTCTCATTTGATTTGTCCGAAGGATATTTGAAAAATTGGATGAAAATAGTTCGTATACACGTGTCAGATATCTACTAATGCAATGCATGTTGCAATATCAGTAAGTTTGATCTGGGAGCTGAGATTATCAGGATAGGGAGGGTTCGTTGAAATGCAGATGTTCAGTTTGAGCGGAGAGTATATGTATGTACTCAGATGTGGAAAGGAGAGACAGCAGATGTTTGGAAAGTCAGATCACCAATTTCATTATAATATGAAGATGTCAGATATCAAATGAGCATATCATTGTATTACTACTTCATCCGACTTAGACATCCCTCAAGATATCAAAGCCAATGCGCTGATACACAATTTAAGGAGCTTTTGATCAGAATATTTCACGAAACGAATATTGCCTATCCCGCAAATTCGAATCACCGTCACCATATTGTGCACCATACTCCTACTCGTGAATCAATTACCTTTCTTAGGTTCCCATGTCATACGATCAGTCTGGCATATTGTTTGGTCTCCTTCTCCCCAATACACGTTACCACCAGTGACACTAAGATCATCACTGATTTTCCAACTAGATTATCAATATGTTAGTCCCAAATCGTGAATACAGGGATCAAAGAGCTTACCTGTCACTGCACCACGAAGCATCAGTTGTTCGAGAAGTGATGATAACATTCTCCCAGACAATTGGTCCAAAATCCCAAACAGCGCCACCACTTGGACGGAAGTAAAGTCTGACCTGTAGTATTAAATTAGTATTTGATTATCTGAAGAACAGGATTTAATCAAGCTTACAACGTTCAACTTTCCAGCAGTGGGAACCTCTTGTGCTGTTTCCAGATTAGTACTGCTAGCATACTTGCAAGGCTACTTACGAATATTTACTACGTCAATCTTTGTTCTAGTCTTCTGACCAGCGTTGATGCTTTGGGAACCAGGTACGATAGTGACATTGTTGATAGTAACATGAGTTGCAGTATTATACTCAAAAGTACTGTGAATCTTATCTCCAGGCAAAATGTTGTTATCTGTGGCAATACCACCGCTACCGCTGCGAAGCTACCCGTCAGTTTCATAAAGCCTTGTGCAACGACAGAAGTACATACTGCATCATATCAACTTCCCATTTACCGGGGTTGTGATCGCTGAGACGATTCTCATGAGCATAGTCGTGAGCTTGGTTGGTGCAACCTGCTCCAAACTGATGTCTGCCATCCTTAGAAAATGGTGGGACAGTGAGTGAGGCCTCAAACTAGGTTTGTTAGCTAGCTCAAATGATCAATGAGCTAGGTTCTAGCTTACTTTTGTGATATCAATATCGGCATGAGGACCAATAGTAAATTCGTAGCCTTGAACATTGACCAAAACGTTGATGAGAATGAAGCACAAGGCGACGAAGAATTTGACTTGGGAAGCCATTACTGTTGTATTAAGATAGAATGAATTGTTTGTTGGAAGTCAGTGAATGTTTGTGTGTTGTAAAGAGTTGATGATTTGAATTATTCCAAACTGAAAAGACGGGCGACTTTAAAGGAAGGAGGAAGATTGCAAGTGCAAAGTTGCCTCGCTAAGGGCCCGCTAGTAGTGTTCGCTTGTTACTTGTATTGCAAAATTACATAAGTGGTATGATCGTTTAGGTGAATAACAGGCGGTAGCCAGTCAAAGCTCTATGTAAATTTAATACCATCACCAGTAGCCATACTCTCTGCCTACACATGTCTAACAGTTTCCAATTCAAGCTCGACTTCAAATCACATTATGGTACGATTATAACCATTATGATGACAGTATTTGAAATTGTTGGTCAAAATACATTCAATAATTTGGAGCGATCCTCTAATGGAGTAGACCTGACGAAGGACTCTTAACAAATGCCCTTAATTGATCTTGTATTTTTGAGGTGATCTCACTCCAGTGAATCAAAGTCGAGCACAGTGATTTGATGGAATGCTACAATCATACGAAGATTCAAGAGCAAGTTATATATTGCTGGTTCAAAAGTTACAATATTTTATAGTCTAACTCATCACCCGGATATTAGACAGCAATTCATATTGCAATTGAGATACTTATACATTAATTGAGTTGGGTATATGCTAAATATAATGCTCTTTTATCTCAATATTCGACCATCAAAACCTTCTTCAAAGAACCCATTTCCTTTTCCCAAGCCTCAACCTTTCTTTGACTCGCCGCTAATTTGTCCAATAGATATTGGATACGAGGACCAACCTCATGAGGCTGCTTAGGTAAAGTACCGAGCATGACTAATTCATTCTCGTACTTATCAATACTCTTCGTCTCAATCTTAGTCAGCTCAGTAAGTACTGCCAAGTCAAGTCTGCTTCGTAATACACGATCCTCACTTAACATTTTGAAAGCAGCTTGATATACTGGCTTCCCGGCTTTGATGCTTTGTGGACGACCTTTGAAGGTCTTGATCGTAATCAATTCCGCTGCGGAGAGTGCTTCGAGAACATTTTCTCCGTTCGATGCCGATGACGTAAGGGATGATTTGAATGTATCAGAGAGCAAGACCTGATTATATCGTAGAGTATCGTTCTCAGCAAGAGAGTTGACCAGGTACCATGCTTGTTCGACTGACCATTTCCTGTCTCCCTTCTCAGCAGATAATAGATACATTTTCATGATCTCTGAGGCGCTTTGCTCGACAATCTCAGCTACGGCGCGTTTTGGAGTTTGTCCAGTTTTCAATCGACGTGCCAAGAATTCTAGATCGGTCAACCGGCCACCTAGGACTTCGATGCACTCATCCAGTTCTGAAAGATCTTCTCGGCGTTGAGATTCCGAAAGCTTCTCTGTCTTGTCTTTAGGGTTTTCTGGATCGTTTTCTAGATGACTGATAACGAATTTCTTGGCTACTTGAGGTGTGATATCACCAAGCGCTATCTGTCTAAAAACTCGATCTGGAAGCGCTTTACTCAAGGACTTAGAGTAAGATATATCGTTTGTTAGGAATATGACATGAGCAATGTTAGAAGTAGTGAGACCAGCTGCCCATTCCGAGATCTTGTCGTAAACGATGCTACTGTCCTCATTCTTGTGTAGAAAATTGTCAATGACGACCACAGGTCTGTGCTCTGGATGTGCTTCAAGCCAATCGTCGTCAGCTAGATTAGCGTCCTTATCGTCTTTCTTTCGGTTTTGTAAAGCCACCTGTTTTAGAGCAGTTGCAGTGTTTTGCCAAATTTTGGCAAGTTGTGAGTCCAACGTTTCTGAAAATCCAGATTTAACGCCAATTGTACCCTGTGCAGCCAAATCGATCAAACTGCTGAAACTGTTCATCCAGGAGAAAACTGGACGATATCCAACAGTGGCAGCGGCTGCCGCAATGGTGGCCGAGTCGCCTCTTGCTTCTTGGATAGGTTTGCAATCTATAATTAAGGTATTTGGTCGACCTTTAAGAGCTTGATCAATGATGAGCTCTTTCTTGCCTGATCCTCTTGGACCTTGTACAACGATAAAAGTATCGGCAGTCTCCATAAGCCAAGTTTGTAAATCTTCAATAGCTTGCTTTCTATCATCCCAAATGGCACTAAGACTTGCTTCTTCTGCTTTGTGCACACGAAAAGAGAAAACGTCCTTTGCTTGACTTGCGAACCATGCATAGATCTTATTGTCCTTCAGACTGAAAGCATGATCGATATGTGCCTTGATGAAAAAGGTTCGAATCGGATCAAAAACCGCGACGGTTACAGTAGCAAGGATTGCGGCTACAGCTGGAATAACGACACGTGGGTGACTGGTAAGCCATTCTCTAATATGATGGGCTTGCATCTTAGCCTCAAATGATAGTCGAAGTATGGTGCCAGACTTTCCACCACCCAGTTCCTCAGTAACCTTCAAGCCATGTAAGCAATTTCTAGCCATGATCGAGTGCCTAATATTAGCAAAATCAAGCATAGCAAACTTTGGTAGCACTTTGGAATCCGAAGGCTGTGAAGAGATCTCTGCAATTTTTCCATATTTCCGGAACAAGCTGTAAATAACCTCTTGTGATAGTTCGGCTACTTCGCCGCCAGGGGTGGAAGGCACAAATTCAACACGGATCCGAGTGCTTGGGAATCTATACAAATCCTCGAGCCAGGGTTTCCCACGTACAAGTTTTGCTCGCATTTGTCGAAAGGGATTGAACCAAGGCTTGATTGGCTTCTCCTTCAAATATCCTGAGATAAGCCCTTCTATCTCCTGAGCCGTTATGCTGCGATCGTGTGAGAACTTGATGAATGCGCCCCCCTCCTTAAGTCGAGGTAGAATCTCGGTTACTTTTAAGGGGACGCTGGGGGGTATCGCACGCTCCACTAAACTCAGAGGATCGTATTTGGAAAACACTTTATTATTGAACCGATAAAGAATGTCTGGTAGGCCTGAATCCATTCTTCCATACCAAGGTATTCGAAGAAGCCATCCGAGCTTTATTGGAAAAATGTCTTCGAAAAAATACATCAGCAAGCTGTTTTGAACTCATGACCCTATCAAGAAGTATGAGAACTCACTATCCAAGAACAGGATTCCCTCATTAGTTCCAGCAGTAATGTGCCCACTTTCATTCTCCCCAATTTGCGTACTCTCTCTCCTCACACCTTTGATGCCCTTCGATCCGTCATACCTTAGTCCTTTCAGACCAACTCTAGCAAAATTCCCGACATTGCCAAAAGCACGCGTTTGAAGCCTGGGAGAGCGCGGGGTACGTAACGCCGGTACGCTCGTAGGGTTGAACAAGATGCGCCTGTTCATAGTTGCGCCTACCTCTGAAAGTATATCTTCATGATTTGTCGTACCATTTATACAGGGATAGATCTAAAGAGAGAGAAATGAGGTTCCCTCGAGCATTAGTTGGAAGAAGGCTCAAACCAAGCCAAACAAAAGGCGGGAAGCAGTGTCGTCATACCTCGAAAAGAACTGACAGCCTTGTCACGTGAAAGTCGGTTGGAACTTCCCCGCGTGTTTGAATTTTTGTTTTCAAGATCCACAAGCTTCAGCCTCGTAGTCCTCAAAAGACGAATTTCCAACGACAACAGCCTATACAATGGGCTGGTTTTCATCATCTGCTCCCTCTGCGGAAAAGCCAGCTTCCTCAAATTCAAATGATCCAGTCTCATCTTCCCTATCTTCCGCACCCAAACCTCAAACGAAAACTCTCTCTCGCGATGAAATTGCAGAACAAGAACTGAATTCTTTTCTGCGGGAATTGGAGGCCGACACCCATCCTTCTAGTACAAAATATAACCGTGTACCTCGGATACCTCCACCAGAGCCTTCCCATTCTCAAACTTCCACTCAAGCTCCTCCCCAAAGTGATTCTTCGGAACCGCTCTCTATCCAACTCCTTCCCACAACCATGTCCTGCCGCACAGCCTTCGATGCAGCATTCTATTGCCAGTCTTTTGGCGGCCAGTTTAACAATTTATATCGATATGGCTCTGCGCGAGATTGTAGCGAGTCATGGTCTGACTTTTGGTTTTGTATGAAAACAAGAACGTATGCCGATAATGAGAAGGCCAAACTGATCAAAGCACGATGGATTGAGAAGGAGAAGAGAAAATATGGAGATCCGAGTGATAAAAATAGGGAGTTGGGGAAGAGCAGTGAGGATGTGTGGAAGGGAAGAGAGCAGAGGTTAGAATGGGGAGAAGCATTTTGTGTGGAAGAACCCAAATGGACAGGAAGTGACGATGAATGGAGGAGGATGGAGAAAGAACACAGGGAGGCACAAAAAAGTAATTTGTGAAATGAGCTCAAAATACAAGTATAATATTATTTGAATCAGACATATGAAATGTCTTGATGTGTAACAGGAAGGGAATTGATTCGGAAAGAAAGCTTATGGTTTTCATGAAGGCGTTGAATGTTTTTGGTAGTGAGTCATAAACTATCTTATTGTTCTAGTAGTACCTAGATAACTGTCCATATAACGAGAAATAATAATTCCTCCTTCAAATTCCGGGAATACAGCTGCGCAAATCCTTTATCGAACCTAGCCAATCCCACTGTGTCGCCTTATTCTTTCCAATCTTCGAACCAGAGTAATATATACAATCGTGTGCCCCGTGATAATCATCCCCGGAATGCGCCTTGCCCAAACCAAAGTATTGCCCTTTCTGCACCTAACTCAAACCCCTTGATCAGGCCAAACGCGAATCTACCCATAATAATACACCTGTATAATACACCTCCTACATGCCTGGTTGTCTTGCCATACCCATACCATTTTGCATCTGCATACCTGGCGGGAAACCTTGCTGCCCACCCGCTTGCATCTTCGCTTTGAAGTTTTGGAGTACTATATTCTGGGCTTGCATTTGTAATTTCTTTTTCGAAAGGTCCGATAGGCCTTGAGGATGTGCGCCAGATGCCATCTCTCTATTGTAGAGTTGCTTATATACAGCGGCCATCTG